GGATCAGATCCACTGCCACTTGGCCAATCAAGCAAGAGTGAGTGATGGGTCTAGAAAGAGCTTTACAGGCAACAAGATGGCGGGTGCAAGATGGCCGACTTGTGTCCTAAAGCAGGACTTCCTAATCTTGGTCCATTTTTCTTGAAGACATTATTTCCAAGACCCTGGGCATTAAAAGTAGGTTTACAATCAAATGTTTATTCATAATAAACTCCCTATTTATTTTTCAACATTTTAATGCAACTCTATCCGGTTACTTAACCCCCATATGAGGCCATTACCAATGGTTTAAGAAGCCTAGAAAAAGAACCATCTTTCCTGCATGCTCAAAAAAAATAGTTTATGTAGAAAAGAAAATACTTTATAAAAGAGGGGTTCAATAAATCCCCTTAGACGCCAATCCTCTGAGGCACTCTCCAACATATCTGCAAACTTAAACTTTTGGCAGAAGGGTTTAGCCTGCAGGTTATGTTCCTTCTGATATGCTCTTGGGGGAAGAAGAAGGGAAACTTTTCTCTTTTTTTAACATTCTTCTCTCCAGCAAACCAGAGTTTGCTGGCTTTTTTTTTTATTATTGAATTCACCTCCTAATTTTTCCTGGGCCAGTATTGTGACTGCTTGTGCCTAGGTACCCCACTAAATTCTGACTTTAAAGAGGGTATTTGAGTATGTCTCCTTCCACACTGTGTCCACAGTCCCTCCCCCCCCCCCCCCCCCCCCGCAGAGATATTAAATAAATGACTGACCAGGCCAGGGAGTTGCCTCCAAGGATTCAACCAATGGAAATGAAACCTACCTGATGAAATTAGGAGCAGCTCAGCCCTCCAGACAAGGACACTTGTCCTCACCTTCCCCTTCCCCACAAAAGGACAGTCTTGCTTGTCCCTTCTGCGACCATCACTGCAGAAATGAAGTTCAATTCTTTTGTGACTTCTGACTGGAGCAAGGACCGGAAGAAGTATGTCAATGACCCTTCCCACATACATAGGAAGATTATGTCTTCCTGTCTTTCCAAAGAGCTGAGACAGAACTATAATGTAAGATTCATGTCCATCCAGAGGGATGATGATGTTCAGGTTGTGAGAGGTCACTACAAAGGTCAGCAAATTGGCAAAGTAGTCCAGGTTTCCAGGAAGAAATATGTCATCTACATCGAACAAGTCCAGCGGGAAAGGCAAATGGCACAACTGTCCACGTGGACATTCACCTCAGTAAGGTGGTTATCACTACACTGAAAGTGGACAAAGATTACAAAAAGATCCTTGAATGCAAAGCCAAGTCTTGCCAAGTAGAAAAGGAGAAGGGCAGATATAAGAAAGAAACACTTGAGAAGGTGGAGAAGATGCCGGAATAAAGTTATCTTATCTACTACTTGATTAAAAACTGTAAAATGAAGGCTGCAAAAAAAAAAAAAATTCTTCCTTGTTTTATTCTGTTCCCCCAAAGCTTGGCCCTTACTACATTTAGTTTTGCAGATAAAAGGAAGCAGGCCTCAGGCGACCAGCCCAGAGTGGGGATTTTGTTGTTCATTCTGGGCTGGCGGGTCCACAGCCCACCCTTTTTAATACGTCCCTGTTCTCTCTGTAACAAGACTTTCTGTGACTGAGAACAGATGGCAAGTTTGAGGACAAGAGTCTGCCATCTTCCCACCTGCTGGTAGGTTGCAAATAAAGCTCCTTCTCAACCCACCACCTTGTGTCTCCACTGACTGGCCCTTCTGCAGCCAGGAAATTGGAACTTCATGGTCACAAAAATACTCCAACTGTGGCTCAGCACCAAGCTGTCAAGGACACACGAGTCACACGAGTTAGTCAGACAGGTTGACAGTGAACAGCCCATGTACGATGTCCCAGGTGTACCCCTATGCTAAATGTGCCACACATTTGATCTCGGGCCCCCTTGACTTTTGCCCAAAGAGACCAGAACCGCCAAGCTCCCAAGAGCCAGAGCCTTTCCATTTGCCTGTGAAATCTACTAATTGAAAACCACAGTTTAATCACTTATACACACATGCAAAATTGGGACATATCTGTGAGCTAGATTTAGTCCTGAGGAAAAATAAGAGAACCTATGATGTAAGTATGGCTTAAATTGAAGAAGAGGAAGCCTATTTTTTCAGTGCTGGGGATGCAGTTCAGGGGTAGAGCACTTGTTTTGCATGTGAAAGGCCCTTGGTTTCATCCCCAGGCTGGCAATACAAAACAACAGCAACAACAAACCATTTTCCCCAGCTAAAATGACATATCCCTTAATGACACAGAATAAACAACCTAAACAAAGTGTTAGGAGTAAGAGATTTCTTCCCCTTTGAAGCTGTCTTTCTGGTAAATACCCAGTGTTTTCAGAAGTGAGCTGCCTCTTTGGGCTCTGAGTATGTCCCCTTCACAGTATCTGGCTTCAGAGAAGCTTCTGGGCTGTCTTGGGACAGGGTCTGGGCTCATGGCTCTCATGGTAGCCTGCCCACAGGCTACAGACGTAAGACTTGGTTATACTTGATCCTTGAGGATTCCCTTGTACCTACTTCTTAAATTCAAGACCTCTAGGGCTAGGGATGTGGCTCAGTGATCCAGCACATGTCTCTGCTGTGTGAAGTCCTGGGTTCAATCCTCAGCACATACACACACACACACACACACACACACACACACACACACACACACACACACTGCCTCTGATGTGTGAAGAAATCTTGGGTTCAATTCTCAGCGCATGCACACACACACACACACACACACACACACACCCTCCTCACATCTCACAATTCATTCACCAGGCCAGCCAGCCAAGCACTGCTCAGTCATACGGAGTTGGAGAAAGCCACCTGACAAAAGGAGCTGAAAGAGAGTTGCTAACTGGGGCAGTCCCTTCACTGTGTCCATTGTACCCATCCCATCACCCCACCCCCACCCCCACCCCTACCCCCACCCCCCACCCCACTCTTACTGGCTAGCATCTGCAGGCTCCTGGGAGCAGCCTCCTTGCAAATCAGATCCTCTCCCCACAGCCTTTTCTCAAGGAAGGTGGAAGTCCTAGCACCAGGCTGCACAGTCCGCCCCACACTCACTCTGCCTTCTCAGTCCCATGTTGGGGGGTCAGCCCCGCGCTTCCTGTATGCCCGGGCCCACCCACCTGAAGGCACCCTCCCTTCCACTCCATAGATTTTTCTCAAACACCAATGTTTTGTAGTTGCCCTGCCCCATCAGCCCTATTTTGAATTGCAGCCTCTGCCCTCAAGGTCCTTCCACACACCTTTCTCTGCTTTTCACAGCCAGGGGTTGCTTAGCGACAGGGATATAAACAGAGAAGCATGTCTTGGGGCAGTTTCCTAGCTCTCCGGAGATGTGCTTATACAAACGAAGATGGCAGAACCCACCACCCGGGCTGTAGAGAGAGGCTGCACCCTGTGGGTGGCCCGTGGTTGACCAGAACACTCTATGGTCCTAACTGCCCACCCTATAGGATGAACCACTGTCCAGTCATGAGATTCCCAGGAGGTGGGGTCTGAAAAGGTCAATCTGTGAGCCCACACTGTTTGGGTTTAAAGTCAGACTATGCCAGTGCTTGAGGGAGGGCTGCTCCTGGCTCTGTGTTCGGGGGCCACTCCCGAGCAGTGTGCAAAGGCTCATGAACCTGAGATAGAACCAAGGGTCCTGCATGCAAAGTATGTGCACAACCAGTTGAGCATCTTCTCTGGCCTTTGCTGTGAGGGTCATGCTTTTGTTTGTTTTGTTCTGCTTTTGTTTTGTTTCGTTTTTCTGACTTTCTTTTGAAGAGAGGACGTATCAGATATTAAACTGATAAGAACAGATACTACACTTGATCTTAGCCAAAAGTCCGAGAAGCAATCTGACTTTTTTGGGGGGGAGGGGGAATCACACCCAGCGATGCTCAGGGGTTATTCCTGGCTCTGCACTCAGGAGTCACTCGTGGCAGTGCTCAGAGGACCCTATGGGATACCAGGGATCGAACCTGTGTCAGCCACGTGCAAGGTGTGCAATGCCCTCTGTGGGGATCATGCTTTGGTGGCACTCTGAGCCCATGTGGCATGAGGGATGGGACCCAGGGCCTTACACATGCAAGGCATGTATGTGTCCCACCACTTGAGCCCTGATCCCTTCCCAGGCTGAGTTCATAAATATTTTTCAGATCACTGCCCTTGACCTATGTTTACATGCTACCAATGACAGCTTTCATGCACATATGATTCACCATGCTGGCCCTTGAAGATCCCCTAACAGTCCCCTAGATCTGTCATACACACATAGTATGTCTGTGTGCCAATAGTTGATCAACTTAGCTTGTCTCTTTTTCCTTTCTTTAAACTTTATGATTTACAAGGTTGTTCATCATCCAGTTGTTTCAGGTATTTAATATTCCAACCCCAATCCCACCACCAACGTGTCGTTCCCTCCCAAGTTTCCCACCCAAGCCTGCTCCCCTGGCAGCCACAAATTAATTTACTTTATTCGTTTTTTTCTTTTTGGATCACACCTGGAGATGCACAGGGGTTCCTCCTGGCTTCTACACTCAGGAATTACTCCTGGCAGTACTTGGGGGACCATGTGGGATGCTGGGAATCGAACCTAGGTAGGCCACGTACAAGGCAAATGCCCTACCCACTGTGCTATCGCTCCAGCACCGCAAATTAATTTACTTTATACTGTTTATTGCAGCGTAATATCTCATAACTATCTTGCTAAATAAAGTCATGGCCTGAGGACTTCCTGACAGGCTAGGTGTGAGTTGAGCCTCCTGTATTTTTGTTTTCACTCACTGAGCTTAGTGGAACTTAGCGCATCTACTCCCTGTGCCCCTCCATTAAGACCCCTTGAGAGCAGTGGGCTGGAGAGTCTCTCTCCATCTTTGGACCGGTGCCCTCTCAAGCCAGAATGAATGTCTTGCAGTGAGTAGCTGCCTGATCCTGTCTGCCAACTCAGCCCTGTGAAGAGAAGCAGGTTTTTCCCAATCGCCCCTCATTGTTCTCCTTCTCTCTCCTTCAGCGCCTACTTTGATGAGAAGACCAAGACAGTCAAAGGGAGCATCCCGCGCCCGTTCACCCCCATGTACAGCTGCCTGGTGTCTCCCTTCCTCCCGGAGTCACACGTGTAAGTAGCATCTCCCCTCCAGCCAGCACACCCAGCTCCCTTATAAATAGAAGTCCAGGGGGGGTGACTCCAGGAGTCACTGACTGCTCAGTCTCTCCTTTCTTTGACCCTCTTGGGTTTTTTGGGTTTTTTGGAGGGGGTAGGGGTAGGGGTGTTAAAGATTTCTTTTTCTTTTTTTTTTTTTTACTCCCTGTGAGATAGATCCTTACAAAGCTGTTCATGATTAGGGTTCAGTCAGAGTGTGTTTCAGTCAAAGAGTGTTCCAACACCCATCCTTCCACCAGTGCTCATTTCCTATCACCAGTGTCCCCAGTTTCCCTCCCATAACTCCCCCACACCAACCTGCTTGCTTCCATGGCAGGTGCTTTGCTTCTGTCTGTCTGTCTTTCTGTCTGTCTCTCTCTCTCTGTCTCTGTCTGCCTCTGTCTCTCTGTCTCTCTCTGTCTCTGTGTCTCTGTCTCCCCCCCCCCCCCCCCCCCGCCCCTCACCACCACTTTTGGGCAGTGGTTTGCAATACGGATACTGAAAGGTTATTAGGTATATCCCTTTACCTACTTTTAGCATTCAATTCTTGTTTGGCATGATCATTTCCAGCTATTGTTGTCACACCGGTCCCTTCTCTATCTGACCTACCCTAGCTTGGCCCTCTTTGAAAGGAACTTCTTCAAGCCTGAGGCCACAACATTATTACTGGGTAGGAAAAACACAAAAGGAAGCAGCCAGGAGGGGAGTGACCAGTAGCCCGGACTGAGTTACGGTGTTCTTCTCGTGCCGGAGGCGCTCATGCCTTGTCCTTTGAGAGCCTGATCAAATTTGGCCCCGGCCTTCACCAAATGCTGCAGGATGCTCTCAGCGGGGGCTCTGGAGAGACAGGTTTTGCCCAGGACTCCAGAAGCTTTTCCCCAGAGGGCCTTTTTCTGCCCTGAGTCAGGCACTCATCACTACTGGAGTGTCTACATCTTCCTCCCACCCCCACCCCACTCCTGCTACTTAAAATCTTGACATCTTGTTCTGCTGGTCTTGATGATGTCAACAGATTTCAAGTTCAATTTTTCCTCCCTCCCCTGCCTCCCCCCGCATATTGATAGCCCTTTTCCACTAAAAGTTTTCAGGCACAGATGACATTTCTCTTTGGAGCTGGGTTTCTCAGCCTTGGTCCCATCACGTTGGTCACAGGCTACGTTTTAAGAAGATTAGGCCTGTGTCCTGGGGTATGGTCCTTGCTCTCTCCCTTTTAGATGTCAGACACACCCTCTCCCTTGAGATGGGATGCCCAGAAATGTCTGCCAACCACAACCAACATCCTGCACGGGGAAATTGCACCCAACCCCTCATTTTGAGAAATCACTGCTTTGGGGTTTGAAACTAGGACAGTGGATTCTAGACTCTGTCTGCTCCCTGTCAGATATGCATCAGCCCCCTGCAGAGCACACAGGGAGACTGGTGCAGTCACCCGATGTACAGGCATCATCTCGGGATGCTCTTTGCTGTTCTATCACGCATTGGTGATCACTTCCTGTGTACAGGAGAGGGAGCAGAAGCTTGAGAGGTGAGAGGCGTGTGAAACTGTCCAACGTCACAGACCTCTGCTCCATGCACTTCCGGGGCTCTAAACCAACCGTGTCTCCCACCAGGACTTGAGCTTTTCTGCCATGCATGGGACACTGGATCCCAAGCCAAACCTTGCCTGGCCTTGCATTTGGGTAGGGCTTGAGAACAATGCATCATGCTGAATGTTCAGGAATGAATGTTCAGGCTCAGAATGGACCCCTAGAAATAATTGAGTAACTCTTTCTTTCTTTCTTTCTTTCTTTCTTTCTTTCTTTCTTCCTTCCTTCCTTCCTTCCTTTCTTTCTTTCTTTCTTTCTGTCTTTCTTTCATTCTTTCTTTCTTTCTTTTTGCATCACATCCAGTGATGCTCAGGGGTTATTCCTGGCTCTGCACTCAGGAATTATTCCTGGTGGTGCTTGAGACACCATATAGTGACTGCCGGGAACTGAAGTTGGGTCGGCCATGTGCAAGGCAATTGCCCTATACACTGTACTATAGCTCCGGCCCTGAGAAATTCTTTCTCAACAGACACAAGCAAGAGGTCAGGCCAGCCCAGATATAAGAAATGGGGGGCAGACGCTCTCTCTTCTCTCTCTCTCTCTCTCTCTCTCTCTCTCTCTCTCTCCCTTTTTCTCTCTCTTTCTCTGTCTCTCTCTCAATGGGGCAACTGCAAATTCACACTGCAGTTTGTGGGCAGGGTGGCAGACGTGGGGAGCAGATAGGGAATTGGCATTTTTGTCATTGTTCTACCAATGACCATTCAGGACTGGATCTGCCTGGTCAATTCTCAAATTCTCCTTCAGCTCATCAGCTGCCATGGCTCAGAGCCAACTCAGTCCCTTCGATCCTGATGTAACTAAAACGAAACCGGCTGAACATTCCAAATTGCCTGTCAGGGGATCAATGCAGTCGTGCAGAGGGAGACTTGACTGTTTTTCTTTGGAGCATGAGAAGAGCCCTGGGCTCTGGGGAGGGGAAACAGTCCCTACTTTTGCCTCCGGGTGACTGTCTGTCCCTGGCTGCCTTTTCCAAGGCCCTGTGCAGTCAGATCCTATCGTTGTGCCCTGCTTGCCCTTGGCACTGCCCACAGGCTTGGCTTTGCACATGCTTTCAGAGTTCTCTTAGCCAAAGAGCAAAACCACCACCATGTTGGCATCTCACTCATGGATGCTGATTGGCTTCATGGTTTCCATTGAGGGGGCCGTGCAGGTGGACTTGACTGTGGGTCCCCACTCCCAAGTCACAGTGTAGGAAACTTAGAAGCAGGCTTCAGTGATCCTCGTCCAGCACCCTCATCTAGAACATCCCCTGAGTCCAAAAAGTGAGTGCTGCCTCCTGTGGTTTGATGGAATTTAAGATACAGTGCCCTCCCCCGACATCCAGTCTTTCTGAGATGAGACTGATTTCTATCTAACATCTTTTGGGGGACTCTGCCCTCCTTCACTCCCTTGCTTCCTTCCTTCTAGTTCATCATTGATCTTCGGGTTTGAGGCACTTTATTAGAAGTTCATAAAGGGCCAGGGAGATAGCGCCATGGGCTGGAGCATAGGTTTGAGCCCAATTGCAAAGTAACAGGTCCACACCTCATAGTTGAGAATTACCAGGAGTGTCCCCAGGGTCCTGAGCACTGCTGAGGAAGTCCTCTCACCCCACCAAAGACAGATTTTTGGCCTGAGAATTGCTATTGCTCTAAACATCCTCTAAGCACCCCTTCCTCATCCCTCACCCCCAGGCCCCCGGCCAACCTCTGATCTACATGCCGTCTCCCTCATCTTGCCTTTGTCGAGATGCATCCTGGGAGAGCAGGAATCAAACAGCACGTTGGTCTTTCCAGATGGCCCCGTTCCCTTAGGAATGAACCTTTGATCTGCTGGCAAGTCTTTTCATGGCTTGACTCGCTCATTGCTTTTCAGCACCAAATAATATTCCATTGTCTGGATGAAACTGTCCACAGTACATTTATCCATTCACCTACACTTTACCTTTACCTTACACCTCTGTGGCTTCCTAGTTTGGGCGATTGTGAAGAAAGATGCTTTTATTTTTTTATGCACATATTTTTTTGTGTGTGTGAAGTGGTTTCTAAACACAGGAACAGGTGTCAGCCCAACAGACAAAACCCTCTTCTGATGAAAAGGGAAGATGCTTCACTCTCACAGATGCCAGAACAGCACCAACATCAAAGCACAGATTCAGGCCCCAGACTGCCTGAGTTCCAATCCCAGCTGCCCTGTGCCAGCTTCCGGGACCTGGGGCAAGACATATGGATGGCCCTGTGTGCCTCAGTTTCTCTTGCTGCAAAGGACTGCCCTGATGGGGTTGTTCTACAGATAGCAATGAGCTGCTGCATGGAGGGCACTTAATGGAGTATCTGGCACAGTGTGAGCTCTCCATGGGAGTGCTGACTGTCATATCCTAACATTGTTGTGACTGCTCTCCATGATCTCGGTGGCTTTGCACATGTGAATTATGCCTCAGGAAAATGTCAGTCAAAACCCATGTCTGCCACTTCCTAGATAGCAATCATAAATAGAAAGAGGATGGAACCTATTCTGTACCCAGCCCAGGGCAATCTGTCATGTCAAGACACTGTCACAGGGGCTGGAGCAATAACACAGTGGGTAGGGCATTTGCCTTGCACGCAGTCAACCCAGGTTCAGTTCCCAGCATCCCATACGGTCCCCCGAGAACCGCCAGGAGTAATTCCTGAGTGCAGAGCCAGGAGGAACCCCTGTGCATCGCTGAGTGTGATTCAAAAAGCAAAAAAAAAAAACCAAACAAAAAAACCTCTGTTTCAGGCCTCAGGCAGACTCCTAAACTAGAGAGACACAGAAACAAGGAAATACAATAGAGCAGGAACCACAAAATGCAGGGTCAAGGGGACAGACTGTAAGCCTGGGGGTACTTTAGAACCTGCTTCCTGGGGCAGAGCTTAACACAAACCTCAGAAAACCAAGGAAGGCTTTCTGGTGGAGGGGACATCTGAGCTAAGACCCAAGCACCGAGAGGCAGAGGAGGAGGGAGAGGAACAGGTAGTGCGGAGCAGAAAATAGTGTCAAACACCTCACCTCACCCCACATTCCTGCTCACAGTGATGTCTGTTACACAGACGAGAGAACTGAGGCTCCAGTTAGTAGACAGTAGTTAGCAGTCAGGAGAATCCACAGAGTCAGTAGACAGCGAAGTCCAGATTCCAACTCAGGCAGTGCAGAGAGATGTGATGAGCTTGAGTCACTGTGGGGGTGGGGGTGGTTAGTAGGCACCAGGAGAGGGCAGCCTAGGAGCGGGGCAGGGCCTCGAGATTGGCAAGTTGGACCAGGGTCCCTGTGTTCTGGTACAGGCTCGTTTTCCAGGGATACCACAGCCAGGTGCCAGAGATGGGGGATACATCAGGGGAAGCCGATAAGGGAAAAGAGTGTGTTCTCTCTGGGTTAGAACTAGAGTTCAAGGACCAAGGTGTCCCTGGGCCAGTTTCCTTGGAGGCCTCTCCACTTGGTGGGCAGACAGCTGTTGACTTCCTGTGTCCTCATTCAGCCTTCCCCGGAAGCTGCACCCCTGGATCCTTCTGTGCATCCAAACTTCCTCCACTTGGGGCTCCAATGTGATGGGATAGGTTCCAGCCCTCTTTTTAGCATGGACCCTCCTTAAAGGTCATTCCTCCATCCTGAGATGCTGGGAGCACCACACCGTTCAGCCCAGACCAGGCGGCTCAGGGAGTGTGGAGGTCTGAAGCCAGGGAGGAGGGGTGAGGACACATGTGTCCCTGCCTCTGTGTCCTGCTAAGAGGAAGCCAATGCTCATAGGTCCCATGGCTTCCTGTGACCAAGCAGACCCCCACATCCCCGAGGATGAGCTCCCTTGGCTCACTTTTTCCCACCCTGCTTGGACCCCCCAACCCTACACAAGCCCAGGCCCAGTGGTGGGCTCTGCTTGGCAGAAGAGGGGCTGCCTTCCCAGGCCTCTCAAAATGTCTTAAGGCAAAGTAGAGTGTCACAACCCAGGACCAGGCACCTGGAGCACAGACAGCTGCTGCATTGGGCATGACCAGGTGTCCAGGGCTGCCCACGTGCAGTTGCCTGACTGTGCTAGTGTGGAAGAGTGAGGGTTGGGGCGCTCATGGGGCCTTGACATTAGAATCAAGGAGAGACACAATGTCTTGGGGGAAAATGCATAGAAAAGAAATGGGACAAGGGCTCCAGAGAAGAAAAGGGGGGAGCTTTCGAGTTTCCCAAAGACCTTCAGCTATCCCCTTCCTCAGCACCCCACAATCCCATGTGATCACAGCCTCTGAGATGAAGTAGACTTGGGCTCAAATCCTCACTCCAGATCAAATCCAACAAGTGTCTGCACCTCTCTGAGTCTCAGGTCCTACCTCTGTAAAAGGGGTGTGAGAAGCCATTACTTGTCGTTTGCCTTCTGACTTCTTCTGCTTCAGTTATACCATGTGCCTGAGTCAAGGCCTCTATCTCAGGGACCTCTCCATCATCCCTTCTGGATCAGTACACCAACTCCAGGTGGCCAGCAAAGCTGTTGCCTCTCATCCTATTAGCCTGCATGGACTCCTTAGCTCCTCAGAGCCTCCACTTCCCCATCTGCAAAATAGGCCCACTGTGAACATTTTAGGAGCTGATGTATAGGGAGTGGGCATGCCAAAAGCTCCCAAATTGGGGGCCAGCAAGCCCCTGTGTCTACTATCATCTTGGAGAAGAATCTCTTTCTCACAGCACGCCCCCCCCCCCCCGCCCCCGCCCTGGTCTTCCCTCTCTGTCTCCACAGGGAAGCCCTCTTCCGCCAGCTCTGTGCCCTCCACTGGCTTCTGGAGGCCCTGACCATTGACCATACCCACCACACCATGAAACCAGTGATCACCTGCTGGAATCTAAGGTATGTCTCCTTCGCCATCAGCTGGGGGATGGGAAAGGAGCTTCTGTATACCTGGGTGCGATTCTATGGTGCTCTCCTGAGTATTCCCTAGGATCTGCAAGGGTGAGCTGCCACCAGGGCATGCACGCATGGAAACCAATGGTGTAGGAAACCAACACACATTTTCTCCTAACATACCACCTGGGAAGTTAACATCACACAGTCATGGCGGTTTCATTTACACCACAGTAAGTGGCCTCATGCCCCTGGGTTCACTGCAGGGCTTCTCGCCTGTCTCTTCGTGGACCACGTATCCCCAACACTTATTCTTTATTTATTCTCCTTCCTTTTCTTCTTTTCCCCTTTCCTCTCCCCTTTGTCCATGTTCTTGCTTTTCTCCTTCCCTTCAAAGGTGTTCATTTGGGAGTACTGGGATGAACCCAGGGCCTCCTGCATACCTACAACCCCTATCTGCAGTTTTATTTTATTTTTTACTTTTTTTATTGAATCACCCTGAAGCCATACAAAACTGTTCATGCTTAAGTTTTAGTCCCATGTTGTTTCAACACCAGTGTACATTTCCCAGCACAAGTGTCCCCAGGTTCCCTCCCATCACCCCCCACCCCTCACTCTCCATATATATGTATTTTCTAGTATATATATGTATACACACATATACATATATACACATACATATATACACATACATATATATATATATATATATATATATATATATATAGCACTGTCCTCCCGTTGTTCATCGATTTGTTCGAGTGGGCCCAGTAACATCCCCATCGTGAGACTTGTTACTGTGTTTGGCATATCGAATACGCCATGGGTAGCTTGCCAGGCTTTGCCGTGTGGGCAAGATACTCTCGGTAGCTTGCCGGGCTCTCCGAGAGGGGCGAAGGAATCAAACTCGGGTTGGCTGAGTGGGCTGCATGCAAGAAGAAGACCCTACCCGCTGTGCTATCGCTCCATGTATATATGGGTCTTTCTCAACTTGGACCCAAAGAAATCCTCAGGGATCAAGGATCAGTTCTAGAGCATCTGGGTTTGCTCAGCCAGATGCATCAGAATGTAGTATCTCTCCCAAGTGAGGACTAGCTATATCCCCACCAGAGGGGAGGACTCATGCCAAGCCTGGGAGTCCCCGTGCAAAAACTACATTCCACCATGAGGCAGAAAAAGCAGCCAACAGACAGACTGATGCCAGGAGAGTCCTGGGGGTTACAGAAGGGAGACAGCAAAAGTCAATAACCCTGATTTGAGGCACTGAATTTGCTCTGTAGTGCCCAGGTTGCATTCAATAAAAGAGTTCCCCTTGCTCCATAATTGAGAACTCCCCACTCGTACCCCAAGAAACTGTTATCTGCTATCCCCTCCCATCCCTACACCCTAAGGGAATTGCATCTTCTTTCTTTTCCAAAGTCCTTGATTCTTAATTGTATCCGTCTTGCTGAAGACATTTATGACCCAACCAGACTCCCAAATCCCACTGCACCATGATTCATCTCTTGCACCAGAGTCTCAAAAACAATCCAGAAATAAATATCATGCATCTATTGACAAGTAATTGCAAATGGTTCCAAGGCTTTAGTTGGGATGAATTTTAAAAGTGTGATTTCCCTTGATGCACTGAGTTTATAGCCTTGTTCTCTTAGGCAGCAGAAATTGTTCTTTGATCCCAATAACGCAACATAGATTTTTCAAAAATAAAACTTCTACTTGAAGCAGGAAGTTGGAGGAAACTGGGAGTCTTGGGGTTCCTCCAGTTCACTCCTATTCTCACCAAAGCACCCACATTTCTTTCCAAAATATCCTTGTGGCTCACACAGTTTGTTTAAAACTGACAGCCTTCAGACATTTCCCAAGCGTTATTTTTCTAAACTGAAATAAACACGCCTCAAGTACTAAATGCAATTTATTCTTGGCCAATGTTTTATCAAAAAAAAAAGTGTAAGTATACATAGCACAAAAATTTTATTCCCTCTCTCCCCAACTTTGTTCACTTATTTCAAAGGCCTAAGGTAATTTTTCTTCTAGACCTTTCTAGTGCCTTCCCCTCAAATATAGACAGAAATGGATCATTTGTATTTTGTTCTACATCATCTGTATTGTTTTTATCTATATATGGCTCTCTCCATAATCTTCCTCTCTCTTACAACATCTCCTGACCATCTTTCCATGATTGTACTTAGAAAATCTCCCACTGTGAACAATTTCCACAATTTCTAAGTTTACGAAGGTATATTTTCAACCAGGACCATATGGCCCCCTGTGAGGGCCCAGGATATTCCATGGGGACCAATCACATAAAATATAAATGGGGGACCAAAACCCGAGACCAGGAGGCAAATTGGCAAGACAAGAAGAAAACAGGTTGAAAGGAGGCTCCACAATCAGAAAAAGGTTGGAAAAACACTGTTCAAGGGAATGGAAAGACCATAACTAAGACACTATTTCTCGCATGATGAACTTGAAGGATTTTGCCTGTTCAAACAGACATAGGGAACATCCTTATACATGAATTTTGCGCCCGACTTCTGTTGGCAAGAGTCTGAGAAATGGAATTTCTGGGTGAAAACAGCATCTAATTTTTTTCACAGTTGATTGCTTAGATTCTAAGAAATAGAGCCCTGAGCCAGTGGGCTTATAATAGCATTTTACCTCCCTGAGCAAGTTCCTGGAAGCAATGTCTCACCTTCAAAGTCTGAGTATTCATTCTCCAAAACTGAAGAAAGAATGCTAGGGTGAATTCGGATTGAGAGGGTGAAAAGGGACATCTCTGTTTCCTCTGAGTAGTCTTAGAAATGTGCCTGTCACCGAATATTGTCCCCTGCAGGAAAGAAGATGATGAGTTTTCTATGAGGAATTGTCAGGATGAAATCCCATCGAGAGTTGTAGAGAAATAGAGACTACCCAGAACTCAGCCAGACCCAAAACCAAAGGTAGTCCAGAGAAAGAGTCCCAGAGGCAGTGAGAGTATTTAGATCTTTTCTCCAGTGAACCATTTGCTCTGATAATAATCTTATTTGGGTGGTAAATGGTATTCAGTAAAATGCTTAGTACAGGTTTCCTTCACATCTGCAAACTCACTATGTTTTTGTAAGGTGCAGGGTTTGTTGGGGATGGTGTTAAGAGGCAGGAATTGGGGAGGACATTTTGAGCCACATACAGTAGTGTTCAGGGGATATTACTGGCTCTGTACTGAGGGGCAGTGCTCAGGGAACCACACAATACCAAGAATTAAATGTGGGAGATCAGAGTGATAGCACAGCAGGAAGGGCATTTGCCTTGCATATAGCCGATCCCGGTTCAGTACTCAGCATCCCATAAGATCCCCAAGAACTGCCAGGAGTAATTCCTGAGTGCAGAGCCAGGAGTAATCCCTGAGCATCGCTGGGTGTGACCCCCACCTATCCCCAAAGAGGCAAGAATTAAATTTGGGTCTCCTGCACACAAAGTATGTAGTCCAATCCATTGAGCTATTTCTCTGGCCTGAGAAAGTGTCTTTTCAGTTAATTAAAAAAAGAGTATCTTGTTTTTAAGGCCTAGTTTCTATTTCTTTTGTTTCATTCTTATACTATGATGCAATTCCACCCCCAAACTTTTAAGTATAGTTCTTTAAACCCAGAAAGCATCAAGTGATTGAAAGCAAGGATGTCCACATCCAATGGATGGACCCAGATGTGTCCAGGCCCTGCCACTTACCGAATATGTCTTGTCCTTTGTTTTTTTTTTTTTCTGCTAAATAGGTTCCTTGCATCAGAAGAACTGCCCTAAGGAGCAAGCAATATAAAGTATTTAAAACATTTAGCCCAAAGGCTGAAAATCCATCGAGTGTTCAGGTCATGATAGCTGCTCAAAATTGGAACCCCTTCCCCATTTTAAGGCCCCCTGTGGGAGGCCAGGAAAATAATACAAACTTGCACATGACTGACCGCAGTTCCATCCCCAGCATCACATATGGTTCCCTGAGCATAGAGCCATGAGTAGCCCCTGAATGCCAAGAGGTGTAACCCACCCACATTTGCCCCAATAAAACAAAGCAAAACAAAAGTCACTTTTTTTGCTTCTTTACTTTTTTCTCTCTATTGGGGAGGGGAGACAGGTTTCCCAAGCAGTCCTGGGGAAACCCAACAATTCTTCCCCATTCAACCAACAACTCTATTCAGGCCTCGGTTCAATGCAAGGGCCCAAAGATCTGGTACTGAAGAAGGCCTTACAGACCTGGGGCTGTTCCTCAGACCACTGTAGTGTTGCTGGGGCCACCAGTGCTGTGTCTGGCAGCACTTAATGGGGCAGGAGATGCCAGGGATTGAACTGGGGGCAGCCGCATGCAAGGCAGCCCTCAACCTCTGAGCTGTCTCTCTGGCCCCACCTCTTTTTTGTTTTGTTTTGTGTTTGAGCAGTGCTCATGGCTTACTCTTGGCTCTACGTTCAGGAACGATTCCTGGTGAGGTGTGGGGGACCATCTGGAGTGCCAGTCAAACTCAGGTTGGCAGCATGCAAGGCAAGTGCTCTCCCCCCTGTATTACTGCTCCAGCCTTTCCACCTATTCTTTTTTTTTTTTTTCTTTTTGGGTCATACCCAGGGATGCTCAGGAGTTCCTCCTGGCTCTGCACTCAGCATTCAGAAATTACTGCTGAAGGTGCTGCTCAGGGGACCCACTATATGGCATGCCAAAGATTGAACTTGGGTTGGCTGCATGCAAGGCAAATGCTCCACTCTCTGTACTATCACTCCGGACCCCACCTCTTCATTTTTGAATGTGTATTCTGACTTTTGTTTGCTGTACCAGACTTGAAGAACCCAGAATTCTCAGGATCATTCTCGGGATCATTTGACTCAGGACCTAAAGAACAACCTCCAAACACACACACACACACACACACACACACACACACGCACGCACGGCCCTGGGAAGTAGCTTCAAAGGCTTGGTCCTTCTCTACCAGAAGTGTGCTCAGTCAGGAGGGGGATACAATCACAGGTGGTTTCTTTCATTTCCTCCT